TTTTTTTTTCTTCAAAGTAAAGTTTCTATTTTCAGAAAGGGTCCGTACGGAAGGCAAAGTGGTGCTGATTCATTGTCTGGCTGGAATATCACGAAGCCCGACATTAGCCATTTCGTACGTGATGCGATACAAGAAAATGTCATCAGAAGATGCTTACAAGTAAGCATAATAATGCAATCATTTGTTTTGCTTACCATTAGTATGTAGGAGGGTTACGGTAGGGGGCGAAAGTAGATGGTTCGTGGGTGAAAACCAACCTCTCTAATGGTGCTGAATGAAATTTCGTTTGTCAAAAGCCACATGCACCGCTGTTGCCAGCCTTCAATTGAACAAATGTGCCCTGAGTCATATAGTAGGTCTACGTGGTATCAAAGACTAGAATGCTTTGAAATTCCCTCGTTTTTTGTTTTTGTCCTCTGGAAGAACCTGGTGAGAGATGGATGGTAGTATCACGGACTCACTCGGTGATTGGGAGAGGAAACTAAGGAAACCAAGGTAATGTTCGACCCAGTTAGGTAACCAACTATGAAAGGTCCAAAGTTCTCTGAAAATATGGTGATATACCGAGTTTTTACCGGATGATCCGGGCACAAACAGGATATGTACGTTTTGTGGCAGGTGTCCATAACTGGATACTGATCGATCAGAACGTGCGAGTTATTCAGGTTCTGAAGGCTGAAGGAAGATGATGATGATGAAGTGAAACACAGTATTAGGACAACGGCGTTCTCGCGGGTCTCACAACAAAATTACAGACTAGTCAAGGAGAAGCGTCCATCGATCTCGCCCAATTTCAACTTTATGGGACAACTGCTTGAGTACGAGCAGTTACTGATCAAGAAAGGCCTCTTGTCACCGGAGGCGTCATCGAAAATTGATCGACCGATGTCTTTCAAGCAGGTGTTCGCTTCAGAGGTAGGCTACAGTCTTATACTTCTATGGATTCCATTATCATACCTTCAATGTTAAAGTTTTTTTTTTCTTTTGGTACTATCACTTCTAAGCCTCATAACCAAGGGGGAAAAAGTGAAACTACCGTCGCAACTTCTCTTTTTAACTGATTCTTCCTTAAGTGTTTGCTGAGTTCTCATTTCACCTTTTTTTAGGATTCGGACGAGCCAGTGTGTCCAGCTTCGAAAGTTCCCAAATCGGCTTCCGCCCATTGCGTGTTCTTTGAACGTCCCCGCGATATCGGTGTTTCTGTGACGCGAGTAAACGAGAACGGAAAACGTGGTCTTAGTGATCCGCTCGATCGGCCGAAGGTTCTCGGTCTGTATAATGCGGAAACAAAACGCTTAGCTGCGGAAGATTTACCGTCACCGTCAACGGAACTCTCGAAGCTTACATTCGCTGGCCTTCCTTCACCGTCCTCGCCATCTGTTGGTCAGCCTCGGACGCTATCCTTATCGAATCCCTGCTTTGTCTCACCAACGAGAGAGACTCTTCAACCTGAGACGGTCACTCATACAGAAGAATGCGAGACGAGTCGGCGCAGTTATTTCAAGCATCGCTTCGTATCGCTCTTTAAGGTTTGTAGCTTACATTCTAGTTGTAAAAATACTTACTTTGAGTTTCATTAGCAATAAGTTGGTCCAAAGGCGTGAAGGTTTTTTTTTTTTTTCGAGTAGCTTTCTGCTGTAACATTTGCGGATGACTCATTGGCTTTTCCAACTTTCCCAAACATTCCATTAGGGATACTTTTTTCGGTTTAAAAAATGACCTTTAGTCTCATCCGAGCCCGTCTTGTCTGCAGTCACCACCGTTAAACGCTAGCCGTCCGGAGAATCTCCAGTCATCTGGCATTCCATTCTTCGGTATCAGCAGAAAGGTCGCTAAGACCAGTCCGCTGGTAACTACAGCTGAAGAAGCAGAATCACCTGAATCCGGCTATCAGGTTGGAAATAAATTCAATATTGATTGTCGACCTGATAAGCTTATCGAATTCTTGAAGAATGCGCCATGCCCTTTTCACTACTTTCGGAGTGACTTTTTCTGTTAAAATTCTTACTGTTACTGATATCGCTACGCGGCTAGAGTAAAAGGCCCTTCGGCTTTCTTATATCGAATCTGAAGCGTTGTCGTCTTTAATTAAACTGTTTAACTATTGTACAGTTTTAGGATGACGAATATAAGACATCTCCGGAAGATCTTGATCGTGTCTCGATCAGTTCGGCAGGTAGTGAGATTACCGTTCAGTAATCGGCCATACAGTGATCAATCGCTGGTGACGGACGGGTACGAATTGAAGCATCTGCTGATAGAAGGTGTTTCGAACGAATTCCCTAAGAATGCCATTGAATTTTCATCGGATTTCTATTGTTTGCTCGGTATCACTTGCAGCTTGATCATGTCTTTCAAATTAGGACGGGAATATGGTCACATAGTGTTCAGTTTAACGCTCTAATTATAACAGATGAAGAGTGAGTAGCAAAAGGTCAGCCCCGTACGGATTTATCGTTCATAGTGTGCGATACAGCGGTGAGACGCCGCACGCGAATGTGTCGCACGCGTCGAGCGGCGAATTCGCGCGACATCGCTGCTCTTTCGCTACATACTCGTAAATATACGTTGCAAGTGATATCATTGTTCTACTACTCAATAAATAAATGAGGAATTATATTGTTCTACCCCATTCATACGCTGCTGCTCGATTCTCTTTGAACAAACGTATTTTAAAATTGTTCGATCCCTTCATTGATAATCATTATCATGGGCGGCTACTAGCGGAGCGTTCTGTGTAGTCGTCGACGTTCTTCTATGCTCATCACGGGTATTTCTGATGTGACTTTACCTTACTACGGACCACAATCGATATAGTCTAGGTTTCATATTGATACACCGCCATTTATATTGTCTCAGTCATTCTGTTACACCATAATCATCGTACTTTCTCTCATTGTCTGTATCAACTCAACATTTTTGTTGTACATTAATTGATATATGTCATTATTACAATGTTTCTTTCTTTCCATTTTAATGGTAGTAATCATTCATCATTGTCGTTGTGATTAGATAGATAAAATGATTAATTTATTAGGGTGGTAAGAAGAAAGTACCGGAATTAATGACAGCATTTGACATCATTTTTTTGTCTAAAATCAAATAAATGGTGATGTAATGGTTTTTGTTCGAAACTTGCTTAGAGCTCTTCCTTAGCGGTTGTTTCTGGCTTTTTTTGTGGTTTGGTTATATTTCGCTTGGGATACGTTCTGTAATTCTGGCGGTGCATGCAAATGCATTTATTCGTCAAAGAACAAATATAGAAATAAGATGCCATAAATTCCAATTGCGATTTTTATGTTTTTTTTTTACTATGCCAAAGAAAATCGCACTAATTCAACACTATAACCGACTGAGTCATCGTGGCAGGTGCTTTCGGACAGGCTTGGTCTGAAAAAAAGCAGTTTTTTTTGTGATTCAACCGTGTGTAGCGTGAAATGACATATCATAAGACAGGATGACTAATAGGTTAATCTGCCAGGCATGCGTACGTTCAAAGCCGGTGCCTCATAGGATCACCTCCGAAAGCCATTTACTGATGGTTTCCGTAACCAGCTGATGGAATTCAGCATTTAGGGCAAGATAGGGCGATAGGGCTTAGTCAGGCCTCGACATACTCGGGTTCTCTGTGAATTAGTCTTGGTGGACCAGATTAGTAGGGATGTTAGATTTGGGAACTCAGGTGTTTAACCTTTGGGAATTGAAGTATCCTAAAATAGGAAGGAGCAGTCATACGAGACATTCAAGACTTTTGTAAATATTGAGAAAACGTTCGTAATTTTGTAACTCTCAAGACACGATCAAAATTTCAAACTTTTGAATGAAAGTCGAATGCGTGGCTCATCCCAAGGCGGATTCTCCTATTGCGCTGAGCTTCGTTTCCATTTACAAGGAGCAAGCTAGGGTGCACCTGTTCCGTTATGGAATACGCCATACATCCAACTTCATCCATATTGCTCGGATGGAGCTGCAGAACACCACCAATTCGTTCAGACTTCAGCCCTAGTATTCCAGAAGTTCTAGGCGGCGTCCGTTCGCATTACACCATTTTTGTCAGTTGGCGCTATCACACTCACTGCCACTCAGATCCATAAAAATACCACTAAAAGATGTAAATCTAGAAGGGAGAACAAATAGGTGCCGTTACTTCATGTCTGATTTCTACGGATAACACTGGTAAAGAAGTTGGGACGTCTGAAAAACCTAGGATGAAATATGGATCGATAGAGCTCCTAAACGTGCTGCGATTTCTCATAGGGTCTTATCAATGGAACAGCAAGAAGAAAAAGAACACTGAATACACTGTCATCAAAATGATCGAGCACACAAATGTCGAACAGAGCGAACTGGTGGATTTTAGACGTATTTCTGCGCCTAGAGGGGCCACTTTCTACATCCATATGCCATGTAAGATGCCAGTTGAGGAAGCATTCACTACTGGAAGCTGGAAGTTAGTGGAAGTTTTTGGAACCGATGCAAACCAGTCGGAGAGCCCACGACGACGTCAATTTAAAGTGAAGTAGCGAAATATATAATGTATGCTGTACACTGCACATTACACATCGGGTTTTACGTCTGCAGCACTGGTCTCGACTAAACTAGTGGACTATTTTCACTTGCATCCTGAACATCTTCAAGTTTTCACGGGTATTTGGTTGTTCTTCTACGAATAAGGTCCGCAGCGGTTACATTGATTTCTCCTTTTCTGCCGTGAAGCAGACTAATTTGAGCCTTCAAATCATAGTCAATTAAGCTAATTGATTAAGGTGATGGCCGACTCTTCAGGTCATGAAGAAGGTGATGATCCAATGGAATTGTTGTTGGCTCAACATCGAAAAGAGAAGAAGGCCCTCAAGGGTGAGCTCGGATTCGGTTTTAGTTTATTTTACAAAAGTAACCAAGGCTTTACGGCTATCGTATCAAATCGATTAATATACCCACATGGTTCCTATGTAGCTATTATGATTTTGTTTGGAAACCTGAACCGACGGGTAACTCTTTACGGTTTTAAAGTAATTTCAACTTTAGGGTACCCGAAATACCGCACATTTGCTCACAGCTTGAATTGATGTTGTTTGATGCAGAAAATTATTTGTTGCCTTATCTTTGACTTTGGTTAAGTCAACTCAAACTGATAACTGGCGGAACTCGCACTGAGGTTAAGTAGGCTTCAGGTTACACCTCTACTTAACTTCTCATTAGTCCAAAGAAGTTGAGACGAATTCGATCCCTCCCATTCCGTTACTTTCGCCTGTTTAAATACATTCTTTTTCATTCAGAGAAAGCACTATCAATGAAGAAAACCGCGAAATCCGGTAATAAACAAAAGCAGAAGGAGACGAATGCGGAAATTGAGAGATTAGAACGGGAACAGGCACTTCGTCATGAAAGAGAGATAGCAGAACTGAAATCCCAGGTAAGGCATCAGTAATTCTATATTCTCTATCTATTCTCAATGACTCACGGTTTCGTATTTATGGTTTTGAAGATGAACATTAATTACTATTCTCTTTTTAGACCTCAAACTGTACCTCCTCTTCAGTTAGTCAGGCTCCGCTTGAACAACCTGAGGAAGACACTGATGAATTGGGAACAACGTTCTATAAACAAGTTACAGTTTCGACTAGAAATAAGAAGAAGCAGGTAAGTTTTTGTCTCGAGTTTGACCGTTATAAATCCACTAATTCTACTGAATGGTTGTTAATTTTTGACTGATGATTTTCTCAGTAATTTGAAATTCAATTTCATCGCAAGTATGCAGGAAGTCTTAGACAAACTCAAACGTCCTTATTTCAGCATTTTTTAATAATATCTTCCATTTGTGTTCAGGCTAAAAAGGAAGAGGCGATTCGACGAATGCAGGAAGCCGTGCAACAGGATCGGCTGAATGCTGAAACGTCATTGCGCATCACAGAAATGGCTGCTATACAGAAGGTTATTTTCGGTTTCAAAATTGACTGTCAGTAGCATAGCTTTGCACTTGAAAAAACTTCTTTTTCATTCCCTAATTTGGCTGACGAAACAGATTGGAGCTCTGAAGTAGTGAGCTGACAGCGAAGAAATTAAAGTTCAGACGTACATGCATAGGGAGATAATTTGACATAGGAATATCAAAAATTTTGGCACAAATCTAAGAAAAGCATAGGGTAATGTCTAACGAGGATTCAGACCGCGATTTAGATCCTAGACGAGCGTGGACTCGATATCGTTGACATACCTCCTGACGGTGATTGCCTCTATAATGCGGTGGCTAACCAGTTATCCAGAATCAAGGGTTTTGAACAGGTTTGTCATTTGTAAATGCAGATCAAGAAGAACTGTTGAGTAATTTCGTTTTGGTCAAGCAGAATTCGTTGCCTGATATACATATTTGTTTGATTTTTCATCAAATCGTATTGATGCAGTAGAATTTAGGTTACCGGAAAGGATATGAGACGAAGAGCTGCAAAGTATATACGGGAGCACAAAGACGACTTTATTCCATTTTTAGTAAATGTGAGTCCAACTGAAGCATTGACTTAGTTAGCTTTATCGATTATTTTACCACCATTGAAATTATATTTATGTGTTTTATGTAAGTTTGTTTTTCAGGAGAGCGACGATCCCTTGGATGAGTTTGAGTTTGAAAAGTACTGCCACGGAGTTGAAAATGAAAGTAAAGATGGAGGTGTTTGGGGCGGTGAGCCGGAGTTGAATGCACTAAGTCAAAGCTTAGAACGAAGTATAGAGGTTTGCAACTTTGCTGGTTTTCAATACTGTATCGACGCGTTCGAGGTAAAACAAAGCAAATTGAAGCACTAACTTTCAGTTAATACAACCTATTGGATCGCCAGTGATTTTTGGCGAACAATTCAACAAAACGAAACCATTAATCATAGTGTATCACCGTCATGCTTATCAACTAGGAGCTCACTATAACTCGACAGCCATCAGAGCTACTTCTTAACAAACTGAAAGGAATTGTTATATTTTTGTTGTGTTCTGCCATTATACTCCGACGTGTTTCACTGTTTGACCTAGTGAGGATTACTATCACTCTGTTCATTTTATACTTTGTTTACATTGAATAGATAATCTGTTATGTTTACTGAGTGAAGTGACTGTAGCCTTTTGAGATCTTTCAAGATCATAATTTCATGAATAATTAATATAGAACTTTTCTTCTGTCACATGCAGTGTATAAAAAATTAGTGAGATCGAACTTCATTCATAAAATCAATTTCATGCTTACTGGCCACTAGTTCGCCCACGAATTGGTAGATACAATTTGAACTCAGCGGGCAGTTCATCTTCATTATATAATCGATCAGCAAAGTAAATTCGACGAAGGCGACAGTTTGCATGGACCTGCAACAGTCACAGTAAGTACGCAACTATCATAGCTTGCTCGCTTGAAAAAAATCCTCCATGTCCCAGCGCCAGTATGACAAGAAATCAATAGGCTTCGTAACTTTGACTCGAAATTAAACCAATAATAATCACCTGAATCCGCAAAGTCTCTACGTAATTTGTGCCGTAAGCACGTTTGGTGAAGTCAGCGAGGTTGAACTGAATTTGATTCCATCCCTCGTCAAGTCGCATCGGCATAGTACAAATAAATGGCTTCACTCGTGTACTCGACTGATAATTTGAGGCTCTGAAGCGACGTTTCACGCCCTTATCATCTAGAATCTAAAATTACGATCCCCTTAGCAGAAACAGAAAGATCAGCAGTCAATGCAGAACCCATTTTCGAAAGAAGAGCTACACACCTGAACTTCAAAAGTGAAATATTTCTTCATATTTTTCACAACCATCACGAAATACGGTAATTTGATACCAAGCGTTTTCTTTGGATCATGAGGGCATGAGATGTATGAGGTACTGAAAAAAATGAAGTATCCTTCAGTTAAAAGGGATTTTGTTAAATATAAATCTGCTTTACCTGACATTGGCTCCCATTACCTCGATAATAAGTGACTGAATTTCATCGTCTGTGACTCGTTTTATGTGCCCATTCTTTACCTGGATAGAACATAGATACAAACAGGTAACAGTAAGTTAGGGCTACTAACGATAACTAGAAAAAATGAAGGTTTCTAAGATGGCCTCGAAAAGTGTTCAGTCGTTTTCAACCGAGCATAGCTAAGCTGAGGTTCAAAAAAATAAAACCAACCTGTTTGTCCCATAATTGTAGAGGATTGCTACCGACACTGTAAAGGACAGATAACAGTCCACTTTGGAACGTGTTATGGAACATTGCTTATCCAAATAGGCACATATAGTGTTGACTGCTGGAATGGGCACGTTCTTGGTAGCGGATAAAGTGGTTTCTATGACAACTGAGAGCTAGATATATGATGACGAACACCATGACATGCAAATCGGGCGGAAGTGCAATGGGAAGCAGACTGGTCATACAAAAGTGTGCCAATGAGTGAAGGGGATGCCAGATTTATAGCCGCTCTACCTACAGAGATCTTGGGGGTTAGATTAACCGCAAAAAAGCAACCATCTAACAGCCAACAATAGCCGATTGAGAAATTCAGGAGTTAGGAACCGAAGATGTAGATACAGAGATTCAGAAAGGAAGCAAACAATAAGAAACTAACCACCGGAAGCGAGAATACAAGCGTTATGAAAACAGACCAGGAAACGAAGTTTTTGTTCACATTAGGAAATCATCGTTATTGTGAGAGGAACTCTTACCGTTCTGGTAGTGGACCTACACCAGGGTTCGTATACGCCTTCATTTGCGGAGAAAAATAAGTGTAAGGGTCCAAACTATAGCTACATATGGCAACTTTTCAATTTTGTTCACCTAGTTATGGATAGTGTTTGATAGACATCCTGTTCAGGGACTGGGAAAAACGCTGCGTCTCGTTGATTCAAATCATCACTATCTACAATGTCGTACAGTTTCTCACAATATTAGCCCAATGTAATATCCAATGTTGCTATAAGGCTTTTGCTTTAGAAAGAAAACATCATCAAGTTGCGAAGGACTCATCATGGCGCAGACATATAAATATCACATGGACCGTCTAGGAAGAGGTTCTTTTTGTACTTCAACACTCTCGCTCACAATCTAATTTCTTGGCACTGCACCTCCTTTTTGTTCTTGCGCCTTTTATACTTCCATAATTCATAAGAAGGTAAATCCTTCGTGCACGCGGTGTTCCTGCGTTGTCTACCGTTCAATATTCCCGCGTGGTTCAGCGACAGAAAACCAGTTATTATTAATATCAATTCTATGGGGCATCGGCCGAGAATCGAATCCGGGCCGCCCTCGTGACAGGCGAGCATTCTACCACTGGACCACCGCTGCTACATACACACTGCATAGATGGCTTTTGACTACGGTAAAAAGCTCAAAAAAGTATTTCAGAACTAGCAGAAGTTAGAGATTGCAATGAGGAAAATATTGAAATCGAAGAAAGTGAAACGAGAATATTTAGGAGAAAATTTGAGCAGTTCGGTGTGGAGCTTTTTTGAGAACTAAAACGAAAATTCAGTCCGGCACTCGGCTCTTACAGTAACCCCCTGGCTTAAACCACCACGACAGACAAAAACGAGCAGATTTTGAGCTCACAAGGGCATAGAGAGGTTGCAACAGAAACAGCAAGAAGGGTTCTTCTAAGGAAGAAAAGACCATAATTTAAGATCAATTTCTAAACGTGTCGGTGCTCGATACGACCTTTCTACAATGAATATGATTTCTTGCAAAGCCTTACGCTTTACGAAGATTTTGTACTTAACTGGTGCTATCAATTAACAAATGCTCGAATTACAACTTTTCGATCCCAATTACAAACAAGATGAAAGCGAAATGCTGGAGCAAACAGAAAATGAAAATTTGACAAAAACTTGGCGAACGCGCGTGAAACATCAGTGGAGCGCGCAATCACTTCCTTTGCTGTTTGTCTTCTCTCATAATTACAGGTGTTGTTTTCTTCAGTATTCTAGTAGGTTAATGCAGACTGTAAGACGTAGGAAGTAGGTTGATTGTTTTGGAACTTGAGTAAGTGATGATTGAGTCCTGTTTTAATCTACCGTGGGCATTGTTTGGCTCTACTCATTAAACTTACCTTAGGAAAGTTAAGTAGTAGGGCGATTAGCTTTCATTTCACTCTTCACTCTTGTCTTGAGTCTGCGAAGTTACTTGCTAAAAGAAGACTAGTTTTTTTTTTTGCTTACGACTGTGTTCATGTTTATTACATTGTTGTTACAGTTTTCTTGAAATGTAAAGCTTATCAATGATCAGTTATGCAGCATTATTTGAAATTATTTTTTTTTCACATTCCCTTTCATTTCGTATTTCCACAGAGAATATGTGTTGCTAGCTCATCCAAATGGCAAAGTGATATACTGTGGAAGTCTGTCTCCGCGACAATCGCAGTAAATCGTTGTTTCAGGCTCCATCGCGGCTCCCACTCAGTTACGATATGCAAGATGACATAGAAAACCTTCCCGAACCCCCTTCCTATCAGAGGCAACCGTGAGTTCATTCAGCTTTTCACCTCTACACATTTTTGGTGACTTTTACGCTTTTCGTAGGTGATAATCTTTCACCAGAATTCTGCTTGTTAGGAGTTCTGTGTATGTTGCTTCGGGTGAAAGTAGTATAGGGACAGGGACAAGACGGATTTAATCGTCCCGTGAATGTGTGACACAGTAATCCAAACACATGCTGAAGCGCCTCCAAAACACCCGTCATATATGCTTAAAGGAAAGGTACCCCGGGCGAAGCTCCACGGGAGAGAGTGGTGAGGTACTAGGGGGTTACGGTGACACACATTCACGGGACGTTAAAACCCCTCTAATGTGGCAGGGAGTATCGTACCATTTTTATTCATGGCCTTTCATTTTTTTTTGCTGATCCATATCGTATTTTGATGTTCCATCCTTAACCGCGAGGAAAATTGAAACCCGGATGTTGTATGAAATACTTGCTTTCAAAGTCTATAAGCAGCTCTCATTTCAATATTTTCTGAGGATTTGTTGGGATTGGAAAGTTTCCTAGAAAATCGGGTAGGTATACCACCAAAAAAGGTGACGTTATTTGACGGCGTCTGTGTACAGCGTAGTCCACGGAAAGTGGCTAAAAGAAGGTTCGTTCCTCGGTAGTGGCCGTCTGCCAGTATTCGACTTGATTGTTCTTTTAGGAAACTCTCATCTATTGAAAAGTTCGATTGACGAGTGTAGTGAAGCACATTCTTTAGATGCACAAGAATTTCTTTCAGGAAAAAGAATAAGCAAAGCAAGAATTCGAAGAGTTCAAATGGTTTCTTTCCTTGGCTGATGAAGGTGGGACGGTACAAATTCTTCCAACTGTATAAACGTCACTACAACCAAGATGTAGAGGACGATAGGCTATTGATTACGGAACTGTGGCAGGTAGTACTTTTCGAAGGATTGATTTTTATCATAGCTATACTATTTTGTGGCAGTCGCCAATATTCTATTTTCGACCTAACTTCAAGTGTTACTTCCCCCTTCTGAGTGGTGGTGTAGTTCAGACAGAGAAGGATCCATACGTAAAGGAGTTCAAGGAACGAAGAGACAAACATAAAGGAGTTTTTCGTGCACTCGGTATTGATGAGATCGAGGTCGAGGTATAACTTAGGATTTTCTAAATGGAGAAGCAAATGATATTGTGCAATCTTAGACACTCTGCTGATTATCTTGTGATTGAATTTGAGAATCGGGAAGGTTTTGAAGGACTTCCTGTTTGAAATAGCGCTGACTTCTTAATAACAGGGATCGACGATGCGAAGCTCCTTCGATAGCAGACCTCCAAATGCCCCATTTCCAATTCGAAGATGTGGTTCAGATGTAAGTTGAAAGAAGTAGCTAAATAAAGTGTCTATTACTTATAGGAGTAAAAGTGAATGAAAAATATCGGAGCTACTTAGTAGTACCCTTCTTTCTTACGAATGCTTCGATATTTGAGCGATATTGTTACGTATACCACTGAAGGAAATTTGAATTAGGATGTCTAAAAGTTGTTCAAAAACCAATAGCCGTTTACTAGTGTGGAAATGGAACAGCCTTTATTTATAGCAGATATTTAGGAGTGTTTGGAACGACATGAAAGGACTATAACTGGTGAAAATGATATGATTGACAGGCTAAGATTCCTTGAGGCTCAGAAAAGTTAGTGTTTCTAATGCTTTTCTTCTCTAATTACCCGATTTGGTTTCAATTGTTCTACCCGAAGACCCAGACGATGCTTAAATTCCATTCACAAGTCTAGGTCAGGTAATCGCCTGAATAGATGGGAGAATGGAGGAATCTGAATCAATTGTTTTTTTTTCCAGATCATGTTCATAGTAGTGTTTTTTTTTCATCTTCCTTTCTTTTTTCCGAGCTTCATATTGCCAATTTTACTTACATTTTCCTTTTTCAGCTGACTTTTCTTCCGTTGTATTGCAATTCATCTCGGTTTATCCGTACACCATTGCGCTGTCAACTAACAAAGATGTTTTGGTCTATCCGGCAGAAATCGCGATCACACATTATACTCTTGAACAAGGTAAGTTGTCAGTTAATATATTACCTTCATTTGACCATTGTGGGTTTTTCTAGTTTTCTCAAAAGTATTTGTTTACAACATTCAATTCACGTCCGATCACTTTTCTTAGTTCATACATTGTAATGCCGTAGCCTAGGTGTGGGCTCACGCTTCTCAAAACTGATCAACTTCCATCCGAGGCTATTTTATGGATCTGGTGTCCCCTATTGGGACCACGAAAATGTGGAAAAGAAAGGTGACCTTTTATTTTGATGCAAAGGTTGGCTGCTAAATAGTATTATAAGTAAGAGTTATGGTTAGAATTTGTGCATATAAATACTCAGAACTTGAGCTCTTTCGTTGATGGGTATTTCTAGCTAAGTCGTTAGATGTCTCGTTAAAAGAACCTCAAGGAGCTAGCCCTGAACAAGTTTGGAAGCTTTTGATGGAACGACGAAGTCCTCGTGCAATTACTGTTTGCGACGAAAATGAGATATGGCTAGTGGTGAGGTTTTAAGCTGCTGTTTTAGCGCACTGATCCTCTCAAATTCTATCAAGTGAAGTGTAGCAAATCGGTCTATACCTCTGTATCGAGAAGTAGTTTTAAAGGGATTAAAGGGATTGTCAGTTTTTAAAGGGATTCAAAACGTTTAAAGGATCTCCTTTGTTACTCCTAGGAAGAAAGGGTAGACTGTTCGTTCATATCCTTCGAGCGGAAAGTTTTGATCAGAACACCGTGGTTCGTGGATGAAGATGGTCAGGAAAATCAGTAAATCGTTTAGTTCTTAATGGAAGATCTTATTGTATGGTTAGGTCTTTAAGAGGAATGGTTTCTGTGGAGTTGCCAGCGAAAAACTGAAAGTTTTTTTTTTTTCATTCCAGGATCGTGCACTATATTTCTTGGCCAGCACGGCAGGACCCGACCAACTTTCTGTACATAGAGGTTTGTATGCCTTGTGAAAGGAACCAGATCTTGCTTTTTGAAAGCAACACGATGTTCATGTTGGTCTAGAACTAGTAGCTGGTATCGTCACCGTGCAAGATCTGATTGCTGCTCTCGCATCTCACCATACTCGAGTGTCCAAAGATCCAGCCCAAGACATCCTTACTCGTGAACGAATTACTCAAGAGTTCAAGGTCTCCGTCTAAGTTGTTATCTCGAATTGATTTATTTCATATCCGCTACATAATGAATGCGATGTGTATTTTTTATAGTTAGCTTTTCGGCTGAAATACTGTTTGAATTACTGGGGAGCGAGAAAAGTGAGAAATCGAAGCAACAGTGAAGTACGAAAAAGGGGACGATTCTGATAGTGAAAAAATTAGGAGCGGCTGATTTGAAGACTGATTAGAAAATCCATGCTATTGGAGTAGGATGTTTTGTAGAGCCCGTTCATTTCAGAGAATGCGAGAAACGACAAGTTGTTGCGCTTATCACGACAAAAGGCCGCCGAACCATCAGTCACGTCAACTGTGTCCGGTGGCTAAAACTGCACTGCTTATGTGAGTTATCTTCTTTACCTTAAACTGAGCACAGCTTGCTTATTCAGTGTTTCTGATCAATCCTGATCTTCAAGTATTCTCTAAGAATTATTAATTTTTCCTCTCTTTAGCGATGCGATTTGTACTCTTTGCATTTCCGCCAATCTAGCTAACTTTCGCACACTTTATATGCAACACCCAGAACTGCACACAGTTGGAGTCGTTCAAATGGTTGGTGGAACTAACGAAGAGCATGGGTTCGTCATATTTTTCGCAACTTTTTGAATAAGTATTTGTGAATTGATTCTATTTCTTCAGCCTTGACGAAGAAAGAGAGGATACGCTAGAAGAGACAACAGCAGAGGGTCAGTTTGTTCATGTTACGTCTTTTGATTCTTTTCCTGGAACAAACATATAAACCATTCTTGCTAGATGTACGAGTGAATGAAAAATGTTTTGAGAACTGCTTCATGAGTTCAGCTCGAACTTTTCATTGCTTGGGAAATTTCAGCTTCTTCTGAGTCATCAAGTAAAGGCTTCCAGTTATGGTATGAAGTGGTGGATGATAGTGAGAAGATTTTCCCTCGCAAACAAACAGGTAAATTGGCTGTTAAAAGCGGGACTTTTAGTTCGAGTTCCATCTGGGATTTTTCAGTTAACTTCGATCTCACAGACGTAACGTTGCGCATGGTTAATCGGGTTCCTGGGCTGATGGGGAGTTATCTTTGATTAAAGGTAATTCAAAAAATAATTTCCACTATTTTGAGATCACTTTTAATGAATGATATTGAAATATCAAAAAGAGAAGGGTCAAAGTCTTGCAGTGAGCATCAAATCTTTTTTAGATCTTGAAAAGGGTATTGGAAAATAAGCATTATATTTCTAGCATTTGACATTATTTCGATTCATTTCTGAGGTGATTTTGAAGACCACAAAAATGTTCAATTTCAGTTCTATTCATTTCAATAAGGGTATTCTCAGAATAATGTGGAGGCTGCATACCTTCGAAAGCATCCAGTGGCGTTTATTAGCTGGAGTAATCAGTATGGATTACCGTCCTGCCAACTTCGAGATTCACTGTATTCCATAAACTGCTTGTTTGCCGGTTTTCGATTTGTCCTTCCATCCAGGAAATGCCCTATAAAACTAGTGGATGTGATAACGGAAGTACTGAAAAAGGGCATCCGTCGGCAAAACTGCTCGATGTTGCTATGTCGGTGTGATATTAGGTTTTGATTGATGTTACATACTTTTTCAATTCTACTCATCTACTCACTGAAGTTCCTTCTATTTCACAGGCTACTCGTGTAACACACGGGTGTGAAATTTTGCACGTTGTATCGTAGAGAAACGAAAAATCCGGCTGCCATGTGAGAATCGGGTTGGCTTCCTCAAAGTGTTATTTTTATATTCGCTTGTGGCCTGTCGCCTGTCATCCCGTTAAACATCTGTTTCTTCGAGCGGTCGCCAGCAACATCTCCATTGGTCCCTGTCGCGGGCTAGAGTAGTCCAGTTTATCATCCTCGCTTGAGGGACACGGGCAAGGCATTCATTTCGAGCTTCCGTGAAAAATTCTGACCATCGCGCTGGCCATACTCAAAATTAGCTTTAACTTTTCGGGTTCCTGTAACTTTGCTTTATGCTCAGCAGAAATGGTTATCATTGTGAATTTCCATGCTGTCAACTAGAGGTATGCTGCGATTTCTGGCTAGTTCCCATGCGGCGAGCCAGTCTTCATTAATTGCCCAGTGAATCTTGCCGCGCACCATGCCAGTCGAGTCCACTGTTCGGCTGACGGTACTTCTACACAAATTTCCCCGACAGTGAATCTGCGACGGATACAGATACAGTACTTCCTCTGGTAAATCAACACTTTCCCTTTATAGCGCGCGACTGCGAAGCGATTTTTGGGGAGAGGTACCTACACCCGGCGTTCGGGTAGAGAATACCACCCTCCACTCCCTCTCCCCATCACCCCCCCCCCCCCCCCCCCCCCCCCCCCCCAATGCTTTCACGCTTAATCACTGTGTATGATTTATCAAGTGAAAACCGCATCTTTCTTCTATCAATGCGCTACATCCATCGCAAACCAGAGCTTATTGGATCAGTTATGCCTGAAGTAGAGGCGAAAAGATGACATCAGAATGTGCAAATTTTGTAGGGTGCTAAGGAAGTTGGTGCGAATTTCAATAGGCAGCTTTTTTCTTGAGAGTTGGTGGCTGTTTTGCTGCTTTCTTGTTCTCTGGAACTCCAAATATTTATGACCTAATATCGTCTTGTCACCATAATCCCATTTCCTGATAACAAATGCAGAATTGATCGGCTCAAACTTCTGCACGTTTCTCGAATAGCTTCGCTAACGTCAGTATTGTGCCATCTGATTGGCGATATTTCCGAATTACCACGGCAAGCGAGCAATGGGATCGCAGCAATGACCACTATCTTCTACCGGGAATTCAAACCTTCCCCTTTATAGCGCCCCATAGCGCGGGGTGCGAGTAGGAAAACCCACACCTGGGATAAGACTTGATAGCTTCGTAAACATCGACTGGTAACCATCTTCAAGAAAAATAATCTGGAATTAAGAATTTTGCACCACCTTCTAGAACACCCACCCTGAATTTCTACTTGTTGCTCATTTTACTCATTGGTCTCGGTGCTTGACTGTATAATTTTGTCTTGCATTGGGTAAATTGAAGTGCCTTCAACATTTTATTTCTCATTGTTCATAGCGATAAATATGTAAAACATCCCATGTTCATTTTACTAATGACAACAGAAAAACGGCAATTTCTGTCTCTTTTGTTCCTCCCATTTCTTTCCTAATGAGACTACCTATTGTATTTTATCACGATTGTTTACTCCTAGATTGCGATTTAATGTTGCAGTAATTTTCCAGCCTTTCAAAATCGGTATCGTCTACACAGAGACGCAAAATGTAATATTCTGCTGGTCATTGCACTGCGCTGATGCTTCAAAGATTTATCGATTTTTCCCAAGCACTATCAGTCTACTGTTTCTCATATTTTTCCATGAAATACGATAAGACCCGTCGGTGAAAAGGTAGTTGGGAGAGAGAGGGGGGGGGGGGGGCGTCAGGCATTTTTGTGCTCTGCGTCTCTCCATTTCTTACCCCATCTAATCACCTCACTCATCCCGGGGCTCCTCCCCTTTTAAAAGTTAGGGAGGGAGCTCCGGAGTGGGTGAACCAATTGTATGTTCAACTCTTACCCCATCCCAGCTTTTTGCACGAGATCATTATCCTCCTACTCCCCTAACTTTTAGAAGAGGAGGAATCCTTCTCTGCGATCTCTATGCACTGCCTCCGGTGTCAGAGACGCAGAGCACAAAAGTGGCTGGCACCCTCCAACTAAATTTTCACCGACCCGTCGTTAAGCCTTTGATATTATGGGTTGTTTTCAATTTCTAGTTGGACTCTACTGCAGCTCTGCATCTTACGTAAAAAGAAAGAGTAATGGTTTGAAAGGTGAACTGGCAATCGTGCAACATCGAAAAACTTTAGTGCCACTTGACATAAGTTCAGGAAGAGTTCAAAAGCGACTTTTTTTCTGATTGGTCTTCTGAACTCTATTTCGGAATCGATCAGTCGATTGGTCTCCGTATGCAATTAGAGCAGTATTCATTGCTTTCCTACAGATGATATGAAGTAGACATAGCTAGAAAGAGAGATAGATATAGATCAAAACCTATGATGCGTGGATATACAGGCATGCAGACTATGAGAGCGAACTGTAGAAAAGCACATGAGCGAATCAGAAAGATAGATAAGACTGCTTGAAATCCGTCAGAATATTTAGCACATCCACTACAAAACATAGCACCCTGAGATTTTCTTTCCGAGAGCTCACCTTTTTTTTNTTTTTTTTACTAAGGCCATTACTACATCGCCAGCGATGCTCTCGAGTAAGATCAAGTGAGTTGAATGCACGGCGTCAAACTCTCTCAGGTTATTGATACTCACAATTTGATGCACCTCACCGGAAGTAAAAGTTGTGAAATAAAGTTAATTACGCACACTTTATTACAAAAATTCTACAAAAAAAGACATTCGTCATATAAATGTGAATGTTCATTCAGCATTGAATTACACAAGCCGACCCGTCGTCAATGGGATCAAAACGCGTCGCGTGAAATAAACAAATGGCTAACATCTTAAAGAAACTCACGTGTCAGTGGAAGTAAAACATCAATAATTATCACCATCAATCGTTAAGAATGACTGTGTATACACGAACATATTAAATAAAAGAACAAGACAGAAAATCATTACAAGTGTCCTATTTTTCACAAACAGAGAACATATATAATGAAGTAGATTATCATTACTCAGTAATTCTATCGTGAGAACCAACCGAATCTCCATAGCACATCATAAGAGGAAGGGAATCCATTCGAAATGAGTGCAGACAAAGCCATTTCAGACATGCCGAGCTGACAAAGCGCCAACGTCGCATCTAGCACCGCCCCCATATGCCGCCAGAAAGCAGAGGTGCTGCCGGCGGGCGGTGAAGAAAGACGTAAGAGCTTCTGGTGTCGAGCAACGAACACAAGAATTTAGGGTACAGAACGAATACTGTCGCTGTCCCAATAACGCGACGCGCGCCGCCCACCGAACACGGGCCGCCACACCACAACACACACACGAGAATCAACGAGGGGTGTGAAGGGAAAATAAACGGAACATCATAAATTGTTAACTATATTGTACGTGAAGTCGAATAGATACACACAAACACTTGACAATAAATTGTAGAAAACATGTTACAGAAATAAAATTCGAATTGAGTCTCGTAATAGTTGGACGGCTAGCTAGTTGCCAAACCAGTCCTCTTGTGGAGGAGCGCGATTGCTCTGCTGACGCGATGGAGCACCACCAAAACCACCACCGGTGCCCTGGAAGCCTCTAGACTGGCCGCCAAAACCTCCACCCTGACCTCCTTGGTTGCTGCTATACTGGATACGATGATCACGGCCTGTAATTGTAGAAATACGCCGCAATCGGAGACAGCTATTTTATTCGAAGAAAAAAGGATGGAAGGGGTGCGCAAAAAAAAGAGGACTGTAATATAAGTATAGTCATCGCCGTGGTATTTTGATTTGAAAACTCAAGCAGAAATCCCATTCATTTAACCCACCTCCGAATTTCTGGCCACCGCTTCCTCGACCCCCACGACTACCGCCACTACGGGTTCCGAAGCGAGCCACGTCGCCTGCGACACGCTCGAGCCAGTCCGGCAGCTCCTGAAGACATTTTTCAAATGAAGCTCCCAACTCAAACATTCATAAACTAAGCCATACCTGGTTCGCTTCAACGATTAAATCCATAAGATCTCTAGCGATATTACGATTCTTCTCGTTGAAGAACGATGTTGCAAGACCTGAATTTAAGCAAACAGTCAAATAAACGACAACTCTGAACACTGAGCATACCTATATTTCCGACACGGCCAGTACGACCAATACGATGCACATACTCATCAATCTCGGCAGGTAGATCATAATTAATCACATGTTTTACATTTGGGATATCCAAGCCTCTAGCGGCCACAGCAGTGGCTACCATTATAGGAGTGACACCAGATCTGAAATTAAGTTACAAGTTTTGAAGCTTTCGTCTGATAGTTCTCCGGACTCAAATGGCTCCATTTAGGTAAAGACAAAACCTACCTGAACGAATCCAGATGTTTCTCTCGCTCGAACTGCTTCAAGTCGCCATGAATCGCTACCACCTCGTAACCATTTGATTGCAAGTAATATGAAAGGTCAGAAGCTCCTCGCTTTGTTTCGACGAATACTAGCGTGAGCGAGTTTTGACCGCCAGCATCGAGCAGGTCCATGAGATATGAGCGCTTTTCGTGGTCCTCAACCCAAACCACCTAAACGAAAGACATTTTACCACCAAGAACTATGGGAAGATCATCTTTTAACATAGTGCAACTTCAGAAGCACAAAAATTCAAATATGTTACCTTCTGCATAATATTTTCCGAAGTTGATCCCACTCTTCCAACGGCCAAGAAAACATAATTTGGCATGAGGAAGTCTTGTGCAAGCACCTAAAGTTATGTTACGTGAGAGTTGATGCTTCACAAATTGTATAATGGAACTCATTTAAGCACACCTGAATATCCTTAGGGAACGTCGCGGAGAACATAGCGGTAACGCGATCACCTTTACGAGGCATTGTAGAAAGATCCACAATCTAAGAATTTAGAAACGAGGCTAGCGTATAACCAGACCAATATACCACTAACAATTAAAAATGGTTTAAAATCCAAAATACTTAGAAACCTCAGTCCTAAACCGCAGAATGCATACAGTTCATTCTAAGCAACCAACTGAATTAGTTATTAATATGTAGTTTACCTGTCGGATTTGGGGTTCGAAACCCATGTCCAACATGCGATCAGCTTCGTCGAGTACGAGGTAACGACAGCCTTTCAGGCCGATATACTCCTGATCCATTACGTCAATCAATCGCCCTGGCGTTGCGATCAAAATATGGCACCCAAGCTGCAATGCCGCGTCTGTATTGAGAGAAGGATTTTGGTTCTAGTTTTTATGTTGTTCTTTCCTTTTAGCGCTCAATTTCATAAATAATGAACCATACAAAAATTGAAGGCAATTCAAGGGAAACATCGCGATCATCGGCTGTCAAAAAATCAAGGAGACCTCAAAAGCTCGAAAAGAAGAGTCGACATCGCAATAAAGATTCTGACAAGATTCCATATTCAATACTTACACGCAGTTTGTTGATTTGGTCCTTGTAGTTCTCCCTTCCGCCATAAAGTAAAGCAGAAGTGATTGGAGTACGGTAACTGAACTTGCGCGATTCGTTGTAGATCTTAAAGAATAAAAATGCAATCCGCATATACACAGTTCAGAGCATTCAAACTAATGTTCTGTAACTCGAGAAGGGAAGAAAAAGTAGTTGACAACTTGAAAAAATGTGATTTTTGTTATGATGCCGTGCAGTAAATGCGAAGACAATATTTACCAGTAACTACCACCATAATTAATGGAAAGGCGAATTAAAGTGAAACCCATGTCGCAAGGGGCTCGGAATACGAAAGGGACCCTTTTTCTGTCATCGCTTCTGAACCATTTTCTTCCAAATGTGCCGCCCCACGACGATATATGGAACAAGAGTGCTGTTTCACTATACATTTGAAACCGTTGATGTATATATCTTCGATAAATTACATTACCAAGAAATACATGGGCACGACAAAACATTTTGAAACAAAGAAAAGTAGCCGAACAAAACAATTTGTTAGAATTTTGAACAAATGAGCACCTGAAGAGACAATTCCCTTGTTGGAGAAAGTACCAGTGCTGAAGGGTACTGTTTTTTACGACCGCCGTGAGACATTGTTGGAGGGTGTTGTGCACCAGGACCATCCTTAAAAATTCTCGTGTAGTTACAATTTTTGATGAAAAACAACATATGGAAACAAAAATTCTGACGAGGCTGTAGAAAAGAAACCTGAAGAATGGCGTTAATAAGAGGCACCAAGAAAGCAGCCGTTTTTCCTGAACCTGTCTGTGCACAAGACATGAGGTCGCGTCCGCTGTTCAAAGCCGGAATTGAGTATTTTTGTACAGGCGTCGGGCGATTGTAGCCGGATTTTTGGATATTCTCCACAATCCATGGATGAAGTTTCAAATCGGCAAACTAGAATTTGTATGGAAGTTACTTATCAGCACTAGACCTATCAGAAGATGAATGGAGTTTGAAAATGACTAACGAGAGAAATCGGTGCCGGAACATCCTCCCCAGTTGCCTCGACTGGAATTTCTTCATATTTGTCAAAGTTGATTCCCGATAGCTGGCCAGCAAACAGCTCAGCCTCAAGACGCTCATCACGAGGTTGCTGATGTTCCCATTTCGCCGCTTGGATCGAATCTTCACGTAGGCCTGCCCAGCGGCCTCTGAACATGGCATGTATTTATTACTTGAATTTTTTATGTTTTGGTGTGTTGCCAATATGAGACCAAGAGAAGCCTCAAAACGAGAACAAACTTTGCTTCCTCGCGATCGCCATTGTCTCTACGCATCGGCTGTGAATCGTAACCTCTTAAGAACAGAAATTCAGTTCGATAAAATGTTCTGGGTTAGCATGATTTCCACAAACCTCTGATTATAGCCGCCACCACGGCCTCCAGAATTCGGATAGTCATCACGACCACCATCATAACCACCACCATTTCGTTGGCCATAGCCACGATCCGAAAACCGGCCGCTGTTTCTACCGCCGTAGCTTCGGTCATCAAAACCGCCTCGGCCTAATAACGAAGCAAAATAACAGAACATGAGAGACAAGATGAATTACATTTTTTAAATGTGTTTCATTATATAATTAGATTTTCTCAGTTCTTCAGCGAAATCACGAAATTAGCTAAAAAATGTGCAAGAAAAATGTTGATGCGAAAAAATATGAAGGAAAATCTTTGTCATCACCACCATTATTTTGAGAAATATATTGTTACCTTCACCTCCACGGTCCATCCTATCGAATGAATCTCTTCCGCCATAGTTACCGCGACGGTTGCCTCCGTCTCGATATCTGAACAGAAAATACTGTATAGATCATAGCGTAATAAAAAATACAGTAGATGACTGACGTAACTTCAAAACCGCAATAGTGATGGTATTTCATTCTTAATAACCTGACCAATTTTTTCATACAGGCATTTATATGTTAGCATGAAATATAGCATAGGTGAACGAAAAGAAGTTTCATCCGAAATAACCGAAATGATTCTGGGCACAAAGAATCCATTCCTGCCGTGTATTTGGATATTAGTCTCCTCCGCTAACCCATTCCTGGCCTATTACTATTACTTTTTCAACTGATATGATGCGCCAAGCGCTGACCAGATCGGACGTGAAATAAACAAAAACAGTTGCTATATTTCAAGATCTTGATGTGGAACGAGAATCACAGTGTCATGAGCATGATCAATGATGCTATCTCAAAACTCGAAGCTGGCGTTCACACACCGTCCCTGCTCCAATCACTTTTGACATCACATTGGGCTACTTTTGCAATGCGCAATACTTTTACCTTTTATGATTTCCTACACCCACCAAAATGCGACTCATCCTTTTATTCATAGAAAACTCTATTTTTCGGTGCAAACTGATTGGTAAATAACAGCACGGTGACGGCCAAAGGAAATGATAGAACGATGAAAACCTACCCTCCTCCACCACCCATTCGGCCTCCTCCGCCACCACCGTACGAGCGTTCATTATCGTCGTAGCGAGGGCGCGGCGCATCGCTAGTGCCCCCGTCACGATTACGTCGATGCGGAGGCACGTAGCGTTCACGCACAGATTCGTTTACAGCAGCATTTCTACCGCTGTCATTATCGCAATATCCTCTTTCCATCAAAGAAACAAGTCGCAAATGCGCGCCGAAGTTTGAGACCTCTCCTGAAATAACATTTTTGTGCTCTTTAAAAATACGAACGGTGTACTCAGACATACACAACATAACAATCGATTAAGTCGCAATAGATAGCTCAATTTTACTGATTCATCGAAAACAGAGCATTGAGCCTGATGTTTGAAAACAAACAAGATAATCCGCAACATCGAGGAATCCAAAACAGCAGAAGACTGCAAGAAAAACAACTCTGCAGAGACGAAAGAGGGAGCGTAAAAAATCGATAGCTACTTAAGCTCACTGTGGTCATCAAATTGTTGAAGAAAAAACTGCGGATGATATTCGGTGTGTAGAGAAAAAGAGAAATTTATAAAAGTAGAATTCCTGACCCCTAAAACAAAGGGTCTTTTGTCTTATATGATGCTTGTGAACGATTATATTCATATCATGTAGGGGTTCATACATTTTCAAAAAAGAAAAACGCTCTCACTTCATTTTGAAGAACATGAAACTTGAGACTTTCACTGGCTTAAACCTAGAATGAAAACATAGTCTCTACATAGGGTAGAGAGCCTCTATGTAGCAGAGATTTTGCCGTAAAGAAAGGAACAGCCTGAGTTTCTTCGCAGCAAAGTCAATTGACCTATGCTACAGCTACACCATGGTGATCTTCGAACAAAATAATTCCCTGCAGAAAAGTGTATTGTGAAAGCGCTATGAAGCGACACGTGATTGTGCCATGCTGTTATGAAAGAAGTCGGTGAAAATCACGCGAGATAGGACAGCTCTTAAAAAAACGAAACCATAATTTTCAGCGCATCGGCGTGACCCGTTGAGAACAGAGCAAAATATTTAACTCCTCTCGAAGAAGAATCGCAGTAACTGCAACCCGCGTAATGCCCACTTTAGATGTGTTTTACTCTTCAAACAGCTGAACAAAATCAGCTTAATCCATAAGGAGCCGCGAAAAAAATCAAGCCCTTCTATCGCAAATAGTATAGTCTTTATTTTTATTCAGTGTCCACCACTATTCTTCTCACTAAAGATATTTACATAATGTGAGTAGCATAATTCAGTAAATCCCTTGGAGATTTGAGAATAATATATGAGGGGAAATGGCGAGTATGTGTACGTCATAAGAGCTCCGAAATAGATCGCTTTGACGACAGCTTTTCAGATTGTTTCGATATCGAAGCTTAGGTAGCGCTCATTCTCACAAAAGACTTTAGTTACTCATATAAATTTGAGTTCTTCGTCGCGAATGCGACTCACCCTGGAGATGATGGTTCGATCATACGTGTAAAATAAATACAATTTATAAACTAATAACTTCAACAAACACGAGCAAATCGACGAAAAACAATGCAAAGCATCCGATCGCGTAAAAGGAGGTGAGAGCTCAGAGAAGAGAGCGACCAGAACACAAGGGAAAGTATGAATCAATCTTTATTTCTCATCGCAACACACCAAAGACCGAACTGCAACAGTCGATCGCGCACTTCCACTAAACAGCAGGCGCGTACGCGAAAATGTCGTCAGTTGAAACAGGTTACGCTGGGTGGTCGAATGAAAAGAATGAGCGGGACCATTTCTTTGGTGTTCATCGATGCAGTTTATGGGGCCTCGACATTTTGCAAGTTCGGTTTTTTTTTTGATACTTCAGAGTTTATCTGAACTTAGTTAGCCCTTACTATCATAAAAAAGTGTAAAGGCCTAAAATAATAAATCACAAGGTGCAGAAAAGGCGAGCTCCATGGGGATCAAGCTATGTTAGATCTGCTTTGCAATGTTCACAATTGCTCTCTTTCTGTAGCAGCCGTAATTAAGATGTTTATTCTTCGACAGACTGATAAATAAAGCGGGATGCACAAAGCCCTTTGTTCTTAGTAACTGGAACTTCTTGTCGCCGCGCAGCTTTCACTGCGTGGTGGGATGAAACGAAGACGAGTGGAGATTTTTTCGGTTGTATCGGGTGCATTGGGACGGAGGCGGTGTTGTGGTGAGTGGCGCACTATCTCACACGCTCGGTCAGGGGTTCGAATCCCGGATCGATATCCGCTTAGGCCAACCAAGCCTTCCATTCCTCCGGGGTCGGTTAATTGGTACCAGACTCGTCTGGAAGGATAAAAGCACTGACTTGAACATCGGCTGGCCACCGCATGCCATTGTATAGGCCACATACGGGCCATTACGCCACTACGATTCTGAATGGAAGTAGAGTGCGGGGCGCATCCCTCAGACGGGATTGATTAATGCCAAAAACTTTATCCCTTTTCCTTTATCGGGTGCACTGGGAGCGCTACGGCGACGTCATCACGGGTCGCCGATTGCTGAATTCATTATTTAAGAGTTGAGCCTTACCTTCCCTCTTTCTATGGCGAAACAATTTGCCTCCCAAATCTGCCCTTTCGCTATGAGCCCAGATCCTGCAGCATAAGTCTTTTGCGAGGTATCGATTGACAGCCAACGCCAACGTCGGCGTCACGACATAGGTACTATGAATGCGCCCATTCTCAGACAATTACCCGCTTTTGCGGCCGAGCAACCTAAGGCCCTGAAGCCCGGAATGGTCCTGGACTTTCATTTCATTTGATCGATCTATTTCCGTAGGAATTTGAAGAGTCCACTTTATATCACAGTCATCACCAGAAGCTTTTAACTAACTGGAGACGATTAGTAGTAATACCGCTGCTGCCTAGGGATAAACTACATTTGGCTTTTAGGAGCAGCGTGCAACGGCTGTCCATAGTCAGGTGTAGGAGCATCCTCACGACCTAATGATGGAAAAATGAGCTACCCCATATCTGAGCACACAATCACCCAAGTTCAACTCTCAATAAGTCTTGGCATGGCGTTGGATAAATCTAATATAATGAACAACAGATTGCGCACACAATTATTTCGTACTGCAGAAGTGAAGCTGTAGTAACTCCAACTATGCACCTCTTCGAGCACCATACCCTAATGTTATTCAGCCCCTCCAGCGATCAGTGTTATTCAGCCCCTCCAGCGATCAACTCCACCAGCTTTTCATGCATTTGTAAAATCATTCTGATCGCTCGCTGAACTAGCTTTGTTAGGTTTTCACTCTCGAATGCTTAAATCCGGTTTTCTCCCTGCCTTAGCCGTCCTGTGACCGTCAATGCTCCGTGCATGGAATTCATGTTCGAGTAAGAACAATGTTTTGAATGAATGCCATTTCGGGCAAAAGCTATTCTTCGCTTCTATAAATCTTAGGCGCCCTGCAATTCCGAGAGAAGTGCAATAGCTCCGTACATCATCTGTTGTGGTCTCCCTCGATGTACATACTCAAAATTCGGTCCTTTTCAAAATCTATATCCACATGTAACAACCATTCCTTTTTTTTTTGGCATAAATAGGTTTATTAAAAGGCGTAACACTGTCACAATGCATTTTCTTCAATCCTCACGGAGAGGAAGGAACTGCTGCTGAATAGGCTTTCCGGCTTCTGCGATTATGAGATGAATCTTGTCACCAGTAGAAATTTCACGCTCAGCTGCCGAGCGGAAGCCATCCTGAACAATTAAAAATTCAATGAAACCTTTCTTCAAAAACCTGTGCTAGAGTAATGCATTACAGTCGGCTTAATTACAGGCACCCGTTAGATACTACGAATACTACTTACAGACGAAGACAGTTCATTTTTAACGAGTGGAATAGTTCAAATTATGTTAGAATTTAACCATGGAATTGCCACCTTCATGAGTGAAACTGCTCTTTGAAGCGTTAAGGGTGGACGCTCAGCTTCTTCACTCAATGTCACATGTCCAATCTGTAAAAAGTAAGATTGAAGGTTATTATGGAGAACTAATAGGTAATTCTTCACGCCTGCTACCTAACCATTTATGAGTCTGGGTTTCTGAGCCGTTCTAACGAAAGGTATAGCCTTAGTAAACTCGAAAGCAGAACAAATGGAGAGATGTGAGCCCCTACAGAGAACATATTGGTAATAGTGAATGTCATGAAGGCACTTTCTTAACCTATTTATCACAGTAATCAAAGATAGTATCTAGTCATCAGCGGTCTGAAGCAATGAAAAAGAATATTTTCCTACTGAAATATACTTTTGCAAATTTTACACTATTTGACATGGTCCCAGCCCATGATAGGTATCCAGTCATTTTGTAGACTACTAATTGTCAAAGCTAGTTTCAGAGACTCCTTTTTGGACAGAATCCAGGGTGTCGACTGTTATTTCCTCATTCGTAATATGGTGGTAATAATATTAAAGCCACACATGGACCGCCCGCTAATCCGACATCTTTGATCATTGTCTAAAACCAACTGTAGTGAGCCACCGAAAAAGACTGAATTGCAGAAAGGTCACTGACACTGGCTGGTACGTTCCTCGAAAAAATGTACCAGCCGATTTTAAGAAGCTGGTATAAAGATATCGGAATAATCGATACCTGACAGTCCAAGAAAGGGATGATCATTGATTCCGCTGCTCCACTAGCTGAGTAAGCAATTCGCTCAATACAACCAATTGGATCGTAACTGAACACCGCTCCCTTTCCTAGAAAAGCAGCCGTATTCTTATGCTTTGAGACCATTGGGCTGCGAGCAGAAATACCATTTTCATCGATTCCAGCCAGAATGGCTCCTGTGTAGTAAGGGAAGAAACGCCTGTAGTAGAGATTCCTTGCTAGAAGTTCGGCCATCAGATCCACGCTCATATCAGTGCGATAGTCGAAGCGGTATTTATGAAGGCGGGACTAAATGAACTAATCATGCAAATCCATATTATTAAAGTACCACCGAAAGTTTCTTTACCTGAAGCACCCGTTTCAGCTGCAGGACATCACCATAGAACCCTGAGGTTGCCAAAATAATAGAATCGTTTCTTAAAACAGTTTGCTTAATAAAGAGTTCACTTAATTGAAGACAATAAAAATTAACTAGGGAATCTATAACTTGAGAGGAAATTAGCAGATTCAGCGGTAATACAGTTCCTTCGCAAGCAGGCTTAGAAATTGCCATTTGAACCTCAATTACTGCGAACTCACAGCACATGTACTTTCTCAGCATCTCTAGTGATGATGTTGATTTCCATCTGAGACATACGCGTGTCACTAGCAACTATGGCAAAGTTTTCTCCAGCCAAAGCACATGTAGACCTAAAAAGTAGCAAAAAATAATTCAACATCTCTCCGAAATAAAATATTAGGCTCGCTTTTTTTGCCAAAAGAACGATACATACACATATTGTCTTTTTTGCTGTATTGGAACACAGTCATTAACTTGAGACTCTTATGAAAGGCATGCAAAGCGTACGAAAGCTCGTTATTGGCGGCATTATACACTATGAACAAAACCCTTACCCTCCTTCAAATGAATAGGGATTCCATCGGTGGCGTTCGATTTGGCGAGCCGTAAGCCAATCCGGATTGCTCTTGGCGTCTGCCATTGCAGCTTTGAATGCTCGCATCTCTTGAAGCGGATCCGCTTTCGCATCGTACGGGATTCCAAATGTGGCAACCATTTCTAAAACATGTTTCTGAAACTTAGCACAACAACTTAGAATGATAATGGGAAGTCAGAGGTCTCCTTGAAGAAACTAAACCAGCAAGTGGAGACTCTATTTCTTGAGACTCGTATTAAGAGATAATGAAGCACATTATGAGACTTAGAGGTAGATGTCACAGCTTTGATGGAAATGTTCATTGAAAAGGCGATGATGACTGTGTAAAAGTGCGTGTAAGGAATGAGGACCACAGACATGGCATATGATTTTACGCTTCATTTTTATTGGATCCAGCTAATAAAGTGCTGGTCATGTCGCATTGCGTTTAGCTAGTTTTTTCCTTTTTTAAATTTCTAAATGGCCTCTGTGTACAATTTTTTTGCTTGAGCGATTGATTGGGCTGGTACTACGTTGTTTGCGCCTTGTTTGTGCCTTTTATAGTTCGCCCGCTATTGGCAGTTTTTAGGAATGTCAGCGGTGTTTATGATAGGTTATTGCTTTATTCTTTGCAGATCTTAGGGACCATAGGAAGTAGGTACCGCTCTATTGCTCATTAGCGGTAAGAGAGAAGATGTCGGATGATGGGCCACCAAAGCTCACATCTAACGCTACAGCAACTTCTGCGCAAGAAACTCGAACTGTACGTTTTCTTCAAAACTTATTTCAAATATGGCAAACTCAAACTCTCATGCTTACGAAACATGCAATACGTTCGAACATTTATTATTCTTAGATACTTCGTTTTTCACCTCTTCGAGGGCTCATTGCTTCTGTGAACTCAACTTTATGTCACTGCGCCTCTACGAGTATCCAGACATATGTTTTCCACGCAAAATGTATAGGTTCCCTTCAGACAGCTTCAGTTGTCCGATGTTGCGTTCTAGTTTAAAAGTAGCACTTGTTTCATATTGCTACCTACGACACTTCTTCAGTGCTTTTACTGTAAACGACCAACGAACTAGCAATAAGATTGGGTTGGGCTCCAGAAGGACTTCTTCATTTCATGTCAACAGGCTTATTAGTCAGAACAAATCTTGCACCGGATCATAATCATTGTGGTGGGTGTAGGATTACCGTGAAATAAAGCCATTTGACTCATACTACGGGATGGCATTTTGGGTTGTTTCGTCTACACTAAGCTCACTTCTCAAGCAGATTATAGCAGAGGGTTTTACGCAGTAGGCAGTAGTTGGTGAGGTTGAGAGCGTAGGATGCTTGTGGATCATCTCTGTTCCCTTTCCTTGGTATGACTTTTATTCGTTGTACATGTTCCCTTACCATATGTGTTGTCCATCCCTATACTATCTTAGCGTCACGTTCACTAGTGTGTCCCGGTCTCGGATTCTAGCACTTGTCCCTTGAGAGGTTCATTCCTAGTCGCGTTCCAATCTCTTCCTCCACCAAGTGGCTGCTTGAGCTTGAACAATTGAGTCCCCTAATGTATCATCCAACACTCCGAGATTTTGTTCCTACCAAATTGGGGCAACCTTAAAAGGCGCTACTACCGCACTACATATTGGTTAGATTAGCGATCAGAATTCACCAGAGCTATCCAAATCTTTTATCCATCAGCAATCTGATGTCAGCCTCATATGGGAGAACAAAATGACAAATTGCGCATCAATTGAGCAATATAAACCTTGCTCGCGTTCGATTTCTTACGTGGTGCCCCGTAAAACAAATTGATCAACACCAACAATTGAATTCCCGTACTTTCATCTTTCTTGTACTTTTCGTCATTAATTTCATAATCGAGTGTGTTCAACGAGTTTTTAAATTTCACGTAATGGACGAAGGTATATGATCTGGAGAGTTAAGCCTGGAGGGAAGTGGGATGTAGTGGTCTTAGTAAGATTCTATTCCGTGAATCGTGCCTCATAAATTGTCTTCTCTACTTATTCATCATAAATGGTTGTAAAACTATAGTAATCATGTTTGAATCACGATCATTCAACGGGGCCTCAACTCGGCCTAATCGCGGTAATGAAAATGTTCTTTAACAATCCCTTCGAAACCTTCATTCTGCTTGCCTAATTGGTTCGGGGAGCCTTCACTGTTTGGTTATTTACGCTAGCTGCATCTAATATTTCGGGGAGCCTTCACTGTTTGGCTATTTACGCTAGCTGCATCTAATATTCGTGGAAATGATCCAGATGACAAATGCATATAGATACGATATTTGCTTATCTACAGTCTATCATTTCAATCTGGTAAATCTCCTCAAATGATTGTATTTCATCCATCACAAGATAATTTGCTCAGTGTTCAATAGCTTATCGCGCGTCTACGCCTTCCTATGTTCGCAGACGTTTTGTTGGGGATTTTTTTTTTGAGGCAAGAAATATGAAAGCAGCGCTCTATTTCAGTTGATGAAGTCACCTTTCCACACTGCTGCATGCATCTAACGACCTATGCTTACCAGGGAGGGGTAGTCTACTTATCTTGGAACTTTGAATTCAGACCCAGATAAATCGATAGAGTTTT